TCCCAGGATTTATCTGACAGTCCCTTTTTGTGCACTGACGGGGCAGCAGTAAGACAAGCCCAGTGGAGTCACTGCCAATGCCAGGCGATGCGGCCCCGCCTTAATCACAGTCTTCTGGGTTCTTTCTTTCTCCAAAATAGCTCCAAGTGCAGACTGCCTTTTTCAGGCTGAGATTAGAGGCAAAAAGACAAAGATTCAGAAGTCCCTTCAGCTAACCAGCTACTCGGCTTGACCCGACAGTAACCAGGTGTGGAGTGAATTAAAACAAGAGAACATTCAAAGAATTTTTTTTTTTTTGGAAGGAAAGTATTGTATGTTTCTCTCTGATCCCTTTCAGTTCCAGCCTGTGCGAGAAGGGGCCCTCCCTGGAAAGCTTTTGTCTTCTCACCCAATCCACAGGGAAGTAGCATGGGTCCTGCGTCATGACACCAACATCACAGGCCACCACAGTGCAGGGACCTGCTCTTATCCCTCCAAAGCAAAGAAACAGCTCGGGGCCCAAGAAGTCTGCTGAGGCTCACCTGCCCGGAACTCCATGCTCTTCCTGAGTCCTCACGTTGCTCCACTGCCACTGCAGGACACCGAGGTCCAGGGCCGTGAAAGCTGCACCTGGCTCAGCCACAGTCACAGTCAGAGAGCTGGCAACAGCTGGCCACACGGACATCAGACATCCTGCCTCTGGGCCCTGCTGGGGACTGGGGTGGGGCAGCAGATGGGGGCCAGCTGTGGCCTATGCCCCGTCTGCACTCCCCCACCCTGGCATCAGACACCACGTTAGAGCGACTCCTTCTGGCCTTCCACGATCCTGACGCTGTGGTCCCACGTATCTACCAGTTGTCATCTTGGACGCTGAGAACCTCCTACTAAAGTCCCTGACAAGTAACTGGACCTGGACTTCCATTCTGGTTCAATCAAACAAGCCACTAACCTTACCAGAGGGCACTATACAGGAAGCCACCTGGACTCCACACAAGCCTCGGCTGGCAGCGCCCCCATTCTTCATCTCCAGGAGTCCCCATCCCAGGGTCCCCTCCCAGGAGTGCCTACCCAGGAGTTTCTACCCAGGGGTCCCCCATCTAAGCGTCCCTATTCAAGAGTCCCCTTCCTGGGGGCCCCCATCCAGCAGTTCCCATCCAGGAGTCCCCATTTCTAGCTCCTGCCTCACTGTGCTCCTGATTTCCCTTTAAAGCCCTGAATACAGTCATCCCCCTACTATCATTAATTTTTATTTCACAACTTGAAATTAGAATCATCATATAAATTCACTGTAAAATTCCATCCATTCAAATCCAATGCACCCATTGCAAGTGACCCTACACCCACCCCACCTAAAGGACTGCGCTTCACTCCTGACCACGGGCCTTCGCTGTGGAGAGGCGCTCTTTCAGGAGCAAGCGGTGCGGTGGACGATGGATGCTTCTCTAACTGCTCCCGCCCCATCTCGTAACAACCGAGCCCTAGGCTGAGGACCCTGGTATCAAGTGGGCTTTCTTCGGACGCTGGGTCAACCTTTCCTGTGTCCTGGCTCGTGTGGTCATGTCTGATTGGATACTGGACACTGAATCTGACTATTGGCTGTCACCTCTCTGGTCTCCTTTCAGAAGTGTGAAGTTACTTGTGGTTCGACTTGCTTCCTTCCGAGGCTCGTTTGTAAGCTTCATAGTGCAGATCTAGGGGTCCAGCCTGTGTGGCCCCCTCCCTGGGAGGCCACCTCCCATCCTCAGCACCCCTTACTCTTGGACAGTTCTGCCCCACTAGGCAGGTGGGGCCGCAGGGGCCTCCAATGACAGCCTGACTGACAGGACTGTGCGCTCGGGCTGGTGGGAAGGTGCACATGCCCGGCCGCTGAGCTTAGGGACCGTTTGGCTCACAGGGACTCGGGCGCTCCTTCCCCAGCCCCCTGGAATTTCACTCAGGTGTGCGCAGGAATTCAGTGAAAATCAGGAGGTGCCCGTGCACATCCAGGAGGCCGCTTGTCTGGAACGCACTCCTCTCTGGAACTCTGTGCTGCAGCTCTCAGCTGCCTCAGCCTCCCCGGACCCACAGCTACCACCTCAAGTCAGTGAGACTGCTGGCTTCGCCTGGAATCCCGCTCTCTGCTCTGCACCTCCAGAGAGAAAGCCAGGCAGGTGGCAGGGACTGGCTCATGTGTCTTCTCCTCCCTCAAGGATCACAGTCCTGCGCTGCCTGTGGCCTAACTCTGAAAACAGCTGTCTCAGACATTCTGTCCCAATTTCTCCATCAAGGGAGATCGCTGGTGCCGTCACTGCACCATGGCTGAGGGCAGAAGTCCACCCCTTAATTCTAAACAGCATCTTTTGCAACTACGAAATTAATACAATGTCTGTTACAAGTAATTTGGCAACTATAGTAAAACACAAAGAGGAAAATGAAATCACACTCCTGCTACCTAGAGACACCGTTTTAAAGTTATCACACATTGGTTTTCTTACCTTCCCCAGACAGCTACGTGTTCTCAATCACAGGGGGATCACACACCAATCACCCACTTTGCTAACATCACTGGAGCAGCCAGATCACTGTCCCGTGTGATGTCACACGACATGCATTTAACCCACGCCCAGTGACTGCCGCCTCTCAATTCCCAGGACTTAGCACCTGACTGTGACAGAAGGGTTTAGAGTCCTCTGTAAGGGATTCCTCAAGCCATTAGAAAAGGTACAACTTGTGTGGCCCACGATAGCTGGCCATCTCCTGTCTTCAGAACTATCTGCCAACAGGAAGACTAAGTGTCTGGTTACCACCACCACAAGCGGGAGGGATGAGCTTCCTCATGTCGCCTCAGGAAGAACAAAAGCCAGAGAGAAGGCCAGGTGGCCCGACTGGTAGCCGGCAGTATTTTCAGAGGGAGGTGTTCCAGCTGGCAAAAACTCCACTCTCTACGGAGCCAACCTGACCCACTCACCCTAGAGCCTGGGCCCAACCCCAGTCCCAGCTCCAGTTCCCAGAGCTACGCCAAGAGAGCTACCATGGGGAGTGAGAAAAACCCCCAAATGTTTTAAGTGAGCTTTTAGAAAAGGAAACGGGGTGGAGGTGGGTATGAAAATCTGTTTGCAGCTGCGACCTGCGGCGAAGTGAGGCTGGGAGCAGATGAGCCTGGGAGGTGAGAGCTACTTCCGCCCACACCCCTTCCTGGTACCGACCGAGACTCTCCCACAGAGAGTCTGCCAGTCAGAGAGCCATGCGAGTCCAACAAGAGCCCTCCTCCGGGCTCCAGCATGCTGGCCAGACGTGCGAGCTGCGGGGTGCCACCATCCCTGTCAGCAGGATCCTGACTGAGTTAGGGGACTCGCGGCTCTGGCACTGACGACCACTGCCTAGGCGTGTCCTTACTATTCTGTCACTCACACTCGTAAGATATGTTTGGTAAGTTTGAACATGGATGAAAATGTCTACTGTGTGTTTTAAAAAAATGGACGAATAGAGATTTTAAAAAGGCTTTCAACAGAATTCCATAATTATAAATAAGTCATGACAAGAATTTAAATAATTAGTGGTTCTATTATTTTTTTAAATTTAAGATCTTTGGAAATACCGCTACCAAAAACAGAAACTCGTCTCCTCTGTGAGAACGTATGTTGGCCACCTTCAAAGCCTGTGATTATGTTAACACACAAGCAGAGACTGAGGCACCACATGGGAGGACCTGCCTTCTCTGCTTCAAGACGATGCTCAAAACTCTCTTTTAATAAATAAAATGAGCACAGAAGCCCCATAACCACCCGGTCCTAAAGGACTAAGTGTTTGTTTATCAGGAACGTTTCTGACACTCACACTGCCCCATGTACTCATATTCTAACCTACGCTGGACCACACAGTCGTCAAACAGGCTCTGTTACAAAGAAAAAGGCCACATTTTCTCAAGGAAAGTGAGTGAGTCTCTAGTAACCGGACCAGCGCTTGTGTGGTCAACGGCACAGGCAACATGTGATGTGCACTGTGTATGAGGTGTTTCTACAGTGACCATATGCAGCAGGGGCCAGGGTTCAGAGCGCATATCCACAGTCACTCCCAAGTGCACCACTGTCTGCTGGACAGTAAAGTTCATTTTAACTTTCAAGGGCTCTGTTTGAAATCACTACAAAAGACCAGGAAGCACTTACTGGAATAACTTGAGGCCTCCTGGGGAAGAGGACACTGAAACCTACTGTCGTTAGTGGCAGGGAAAGAAACACTCCGGCAATGCTTAAACGGTGTCTGCTCAAAAACGGAGCAGCGTCTCTCCGCGTGCAGGGAGTTCACCCAAGCCCCACACTGCAGAGTAGAGAGGGCGCGTCAGCCTCCCTGGCCCTTCTTCTGAGCCACCATGCAGAGAAAACCGAGAAAGCCAGCAATGCGTCAGAAGCTCCATAACCAGACACAGGGAACAGGAAGGGAGCTGACGCTCACCCATTGCCACTCAAGGTCCTGACCCAGCTCCGCCTGCGGTTCAGAACTTACAGTGAGCGCTGTGTGCGGCCCTGGGCCCAGTCCCCACCTCTCTAGGTCATGATGTCAGAAGGGATAATTCCCTGGAGAAGGATGTCATGCTTGGTAGAGTGGAGGGTCAACGAAAGAGGGCAAGGCCCTCAATGAGATGGATAGACACAGAGGCTATGACGGGCTCAGGTACAGCAAGGATTGTGGGGCTGGCCCAGGACTAGGCAGTGTTTCGTCCTGTTATACACAGGGTTGCTGTGAGTCACAGCCAACTCACCGGCACCTAACAACAGCAACAGCTAGGAAACCTCCAGGGAGGCCCACGAGTTCACCAACTGGGCCTGGGCTGAGCTTCCCATCCTCACAGCGTGGAGGGGCCAAGTGCTCAATCAAGTCCAGCCTTTCCCCCAATGCCCCCCTGCAAACCCCACAGGAAAGCACTGCCTCCTGAGTCAGGCCAGAGGCCTGCTGGGCATTTGCCACCTGCTCAGGCCATTGCGCTGACCACGCCAGCCACTCCAGAGGCTGGTGGAGAGAGAGGCCCAGCTGCCAGAGGGTACCTGAAGTGCTGTAGGACGATGAGGACGGGGTTCTCCGGGAAAAGCTCTTGACAGCCAGGCTCTGGCCTCGCTGCTTCCGCCGCCAGGCTGTCCGGCACTTGGAGTCGATGCTCTGTTTGATTCGATACCAGTCCGATTCCGTGATTCCAAATTTATAGAACAGGTGACCTGAAAGGATATATCTCGAATGAACACATGGTGAGGCCAAGGTCAAGGTCACTTCCCATGTGGGACACACTGTGAGGTAAAGACTGCCTTCCCGTGCAGGACACACAGTAAGGTCAAGGCCCCTTCCCCATGTGGGATACACTGTGAGGTAAAGACTGCCTTCCCGTGTAGGACACACAGTAAGGTCAAGGCCCCTTCTCCTGTGGGACACACTGTGAGGTAAAGGCTACCTTCCCATGAGGGACACAATGTAAGGTCAAGGCCATTTCCCATGTGGGACGCACTGTGAAATAAGGGCTGCCTTCCCATGCAGGACACACTGTAGGTCAAGGCCCCTTCCCCGTGTGGGACACACTGTGAGGTAAGACCAACTTTGACACAAAGGGGTGCTCTCAGCTGAGCTCCTCCTCCGTCGTATTTGGAAGTAACACAGAAAATCAAATTTTACAAGCGCCTAAAGCATGTTACTGCTAACCAGAAGGCTGGTGGTTCAAACCCACCAGCCACTCCTCGGAAGGAAGACTGAGCAATCTACTTCCGTAGAGATACCACCTCGGAAATCCAAGGAGGGGTCACTATAAGTCAGAATCAACTCGATGGCAGTGAGTTTGGTTTTATAGTTAGCCAGGAACTCTGGTGGTGTAGTGCCTAAGGCATGAGACTGCTAACCAGAAGACTGACGGTTCAAACCCACTAGACACTCCTCGGAAGGAAGACTGGGCACTCTACTTCCGTAGAGATACTGCCTCAGAAACCCAAGGAGGGGTCACTATGAGTCGGAATCGACTCGACGGCAGTGAGTTTAGTTTTTTGGTTTAGTCGAGAAACTATCTTCCAGGATCAGGTACAATAGCAAACGCTCTTGGCGTCCCTGACTGCTAGGAAGGACCCTGAGGCCCCCTCCCCTGGCTTTTGAACATGCCGCCAGTTGACATGATATTGACTGTACTTCGGTCTCCTGAGGGCAGAGATGACGTCACACCTGCCTGGTTCCTGAGACCGTCTCAGGGCCCGCAGTCTCCCCTCACTCACAAGAAAGCACCTCACAGGAGCCACGTTCTTGAGCCACGGAGAACTCTCAATACACTGCTGAGACCACCCCAGAGACCCTCTTCAGCAGTGTGGGCACGGGACGTGTGGGTCGGGGTGACGCCACCACAGCACCCACTCCCACACTGAGTGGCTACAGGAAGTGACAGTCGGCAATGTGGGAGTCCCAAGAAAGGCCTAACCCAGCAGGCTGGCCTCCTCCCTCACTGCCTCAGGAAACCGCACTGAGCCACAGGAAAGCAATGGATGGAATTCAAAATTTCAGTAACAAAAAGATTGAGCTGAGAAACGTCCTGTTTTGACTTAAGAGCACTGAGACTGGACTATCTACTGCAGGTCAGGTTACTGTCCGGACCCTTCTACTCTGTTCCTGTTGAGCCCCAAACACTAGAAACAATGCAAACAGAGGAAGTGTTTGTTTTTCAAGTCCCCCGCTCAGTATCAAAAGTTCCCTTTGTTTTGGTGAGATACTCCCTGAATGCTCCCAGGGACATATGCTCAAGATGTCGCTGACTCCAAACATAACAGCAACCAGGACTCCTTTCATGCAGGTCCAAGGAAGCTGGGTAAGGAGGTGGGACCACAGGAGCCCGCACCACTGCAGGATAAGGAGTCACCACCGAGGAGCTAAGGAGCAGCTTTCCACCCTCACACAGAAAAAGAAATTCTTTCCTTTCCAATTTCTAATCACGGATTGTGAATTCACGGACTGGGACATGCCAGGTGTGGCTTCAGGCACTGGGGACAGCCTCAAGAAGCCCTGGCGGTACTGACTGGTGACAGGAGAGGCGAGAACCGGCTTTCGTTTCAGGGCCCGAGTGCTGGCCAGGCCTGCCGCCCCAAGACTGGAGAGCGGCGCAGTCATCCAGCGCCCATGCATCTGCTGCACGTGGTCTTCAGGAAGAAGATGGACACGCTCTAGAAACCGCCCTTGCCTCTGCGTTCCCTCACGCGAATGCAAGGAACAGCCTTCCAAGTTCCTCGAGGGATTAGAGAGATGACACAAAGTTTGAGAAACTTGTCGGCAACAGAACAGAATACAGACAAGGTGCACACGGTACGGACATGCAAAAAGAGCAAACACATCCAGGAAGAAATGAGTTGCAGGACAAACAGGCCGCACAAGCTCATCTACCCTAAGACCAGAAGAGCCCAATGGTGCCCGGCCACCACTACCACTCACTGTCCCCACAAGCCCCACAAGTTGTGACGATTAAGGGCCTTCCCCTTCCCAGAATCCCCACGGTGGATGGGGTAGTTTCACTTGAGGAGCCAGCTCCCAGCTCCCCGGCAACGGGCCTCACAGGAAGTTGGGAACTGCACCGTGGGGAACAGGACCGACTGACACAGACACTACTTGCCAGCTCGGGTCTGTGGTGGGTGGCCAGCGTTCATCAGCGTACAGGAATGGCAACCACCACCACTATGGATGCAGTCCAAAGTTCAAGGCAAGAGAAACACAGACGGTGCCAGCAACTGAGCCCTTGGCTAGTCTTGCCTTGATAGCAAGTGGCCCAGAAAAACAGAAGCCATCTGTAGCAATCTCAGAGGCGAGCACCCCATGCACCCAGCCCCCACATTGCCAGCCTCAAAGCTGAGCTGGCACTTTTCTCCAAGGAGGGACAATCGAATCCCAGAGGAGGGAAAAGTGGTGACTTAACACCAACTTTAATCTGTAAAACTTTTACTTGTAATTTGTGAAAGTGGCAACCAGGAAGGATCAGTGCCCTGAGGACGAAGCTTTCAGACCACACTGGCCCAGATCTCCAGCCAGGCCTCATGTCTCCAAGCTTCTAATCCACACGCCAGCCCTATTTACCAAGGTTCCTCTCGGTGGCCCCATGGATACATGCTGGACCCCACCTCACACAAATGCACTTACGACACATGTAGTTTAGCCTCCCTGTGGTCCCCACAGAGAACCTGCACGAGACACAGCATCTGATTCCCAAAGCTTAGAGTCTGTGCCCACAACAGACACCGTGCCAGGAGGCATAGCTATGCCCTGCCCAGGAGGACACAGGCTGGCTCCTGTGTGTCCTGTCCAGCTGAGCTGGCCCGAGAGTCCCTCTGACTTATGGGGTATGACTGAGCTCTCGGTCTGAGACATCACTGGGCTTTGATGAGCTAGCCAGCTGTACACAGCCAGCACCAACGCTCATATGTGACGGAGGGCATGCATGCATGTATCCACCAGCCCTGCAAAATGCTGCCTGGAACCCACAAAGCCCTCTGTAGAGCCGGCTCTCAGGCACAGCCCCCGGACGTTTGTGACGTGCCTTATCTCTCCTATTCCTGTCTGGTCTGCCTTCTGTCCTTACAAGCCACGCACATGCCTCTGGAATCAGGCCGACTGTGAAGGATGAAGGGCCAGTGGGGAAGTTGACACAGGCAGTGAGGGCCGGGGAGAGTCCGTGCACGCTGGCCACCCCCTGAAGTGTCACCACAAAGAGGATGCAGGCACAGCCAACTTGAGCAGCGCCGCTCCTCCAGGCTGGACGGACATGGTGTCGGCACGTCTGGCCTACACACAAAGGGAGGGCAGGCACCCCGCACCACTGCAGACACCCGGAAAGGCCAGGTCCCCAGGCCACGGCAGCAGAAGGGCCCCCCGTCCTCCTCAAAGAGTGTTCCCAGGACATGTGAGCCTGGAAGTCCTGAAAGAGCCTCTAAGGAGCCAGCTGCTCCCCAGCACCCTCCGCACCCAGAGCGCCAGGCAGCCTGCTGTAAGGGATGGGCCTGGTCCAGAGTGGTGCTCCTTCCCGGGCTTCAGAGTCCAGGGGCCCAGAGTGCTGCCCCTTCCTGGGACCCGGAGTGCCACTCTTAGCCCCGTGATTCGTACCAGGAGCCCAGAAAGCTGCCTGTTCCTGGCTGTCAGGAGCCAGACCACCACCCGGGTGCAGCGTCCACTCGGCACTTCACTGCCGGAAGCCTGCCCTGGCCACGCAGCGCCCACACTTACACCGGATGCCGTAGATGGTGAGGGGGTCAAGCTGCTTCTTGCCATGCTTGCCCTGGCCCGAGAGGTTGGAGACAGCCTGCACCTCGCGGTGGAAGAGGTAGTCCAGCAGCGTGAGCGCCATCTTCTCGGCAGTGCGGCAGTTGGTGCTGATGTGCAGCATGTCCGACGGGATGATGGCGCAGCGCACCCGCATCTCGGGGTTGTTCTCGTCGCCCAGCCAGGTTCCATTGGGGTAGTCCTCTGGAAGACAAGAGCACACCCAGGAGCCACCGGGGCCGTGAGCCGAGGACGTGCACATGTCAGAGCCGCCCGAGGCCTCAGCTCATACACAGGAAGACCCGGCATTCTGTGAACCTTTCCCTGTGAGCTGTCAGCACCTCACAAGCAGGACCTACGGAGGCAGACTCCATTTCCTGACACAGACGGCTCTGGTCTCGTCTCGCTCGGAGAAAGCGGAAAGGCTAACGCTCACCTCACTCTGAACCTCCTGGTACTAGACACCTGGCCCTGGGTCATAGCCTGACACGACCCATGTGAGCAGGGAGGTCCCTGACTCTGCACCCCCTTTCTAGGCACCTTAGCAAACGCAGGCCTTCCTTCATCAACCTACACGGCCACCAAGGAGCTGCCACCAGGGCGTATTTCACAGAGGAGGAAACAAGGCCTCCACAGAGGTTCCCTACCTAGAACCTCTGGTTCCCTACGAGCCACGGGGTGGCAGGGGGGAGGAGAGGGCACAGCAAACGGAGGTCAGGGTCACAGGTCAGGGGAGGGCGCAGCTGAAGGAGGCCACAGGTCACAGGGCAGAGGAGAGCACAGCTGAAGGTCAAGGTCACAGGTCAGGGGAGGACGCAGCTGAAAGTGGTCAAGGTCACAGGTCAGGGGAGGACGCAGCTGAAAGTGGTCAAGGTCACAGGT